CAGATCGTTGACATAAGGGAGTGGGAGGATCTTTACAACCAGCGGTCGCTAGATCCCGTCCTCGTGGAAACGATAAGGGAAGCAATGCGGTCTGCATTCGAAAATAAAGAACAGAAGTACGAGTTGTCGGTCTTCAAGCTCGCACCACTGGGGCTTCAAAAACCAACTCCTGGGACCAAGGCACAACGTCTGAAGCCAGAGGAGTGGAAGGATGAGCTGGCGGGAGAATACTACTACTACGCGGTGTGCGGGCAGCACAACGCGGCTGCAGCCAGGTCGCTGCTCGGCAGCGAGGTGGCCAAGAAGTTCAATTTTGAGCGGTGACCGGCACGGATGGTGTACTTTTTCGACGATGACTTCGAAGGGTATTTTCTTGTTAGTTCACGGGACAACAAGAAGGACCTGAAGGCGCCTCCCAGACAATTGAAACTTTCTATGAAAGACATTCGATGGCAGTGGAAGCATGACGGCTGCCCGAGAGCTGTGATGGGGAACCATAGCGGGAAACAAGATCAGGTCCGGGCTTGGCGTAAGTTTTGTACAACAGCGCTCCATAAGGCGCCTCAAAACAGCTTGTGGCTTCTCGCGGATCAAAAGGAAGAGGAGGCCATTAAGAAGCAAAATGCTGCCCTGCGTTCTTACTTACCTCTGGCGATGGCCGGGGAAAATGTATGGAAACTGGCCGTGGAATTTTTCGAAAAATGGGAGACGGGCAGATTGCTGAGCCACGATGGGGCGAAGTGGACTGTCAAAAAGAAGAAGCTCAAAAGCGTAAAGCCTGGGGTCGCCTACATCCACAACGACAAATTGGGCAGAACGGAGGTGGTGTACAACGTCCCCGTGGATCCGCCGAATAAAAAGGGCAAAAAGGAGAAAGAGGAGGGYGATTGGTTCGTGCAAGTGCCAGACCCGGACGCGCATTGTTGGAAAGCAATGGAATCACTCACGGACAATGAGAAGTGTCGCGTTCTGAAAAAGGTGCTTGCTTGCGAGGTSGTTTGGGTCCAGGCCGGCTCCCCGTCGTTGACGAAGTTGGGAAAGCTCAGCGTGCAGGACATGGTTCAGTTGGTGAAGTGCGACCGCGTGCTGGTCCGGTTGTGGAATTACTACCAATTCAAGCACGAGAAGAGGCCGGACGCAGACTGGATCCAAAGGTACCCTTTCCTGAAATCGAGGTCTGTCGTGTTCAAGAAGTTTGAAGGTCAAGGATTGGATGACGAGTTGTGGGATAACAGCAGGAAACACGTTTCCGACTCGGCGTTGTTCAAGGACTGCCCGCCGTACATGGGTTGCGACCAGGACAACTCGATTGAGGTGACGGAGAAGTTAGCGGGCCACAAGAAGTTGTCCGTCGACTGGAGAAACAAGGTTCTCTCCGTGTTGAATGGAAGCAGACTGAAGAGCCGGGAAGTCGCATTTGCCGAAGGCGTCATTCACATTAAATGGAAAGACATGGGGGACGTGACATCCATCGCACCGTTCGCCAACGACCCTTTAGAGGCGGACATCAGGGGCGCAGAGCTGAAGGAGGCAATGGTTGCCACAAAGAGCCACACGTTCGTCCTCGATCTGTACGAGCCGGTTGACCTCAAACTGTGGAAGCCCCAAGCGTGGGAGACTTTGAATTCCTATCTTCAGACGTGGTGTCCCTCGCATTGGACTCTCGTTGTTTTCGTGCCGCGGCAGCACAACCTGTCGTTTCTCGCCAGCATGCACCATCTTTCTTTCGTCAAGCTGTTGGAAGGGAAGTGGGTGCGGAGAGTGCAGCAAAAAAAAAGCTTCCCCGTTGGGAACAATTTGTACACGGAGGAAGACCGCATGTACATCCTCGTCAAGGGTGACGATCTGCGCGTCAACACGTCCGTGGTCTACGAGGGAAACCTGCCCACGGGTGCCGCTGCTGCGGTGCGATTGCCTCAGAGGGTCACCCAGACGGATGTGTCCGAGATTCCTTTCACGCCTTGCGACTGGTCGCTGGTGGCGCCTAAACGACAGGGCAGCGTCTACGGGATATGGAGCGCAATCCAACCCAATTCGTCGGTCTTCTTGATTTTCTTGGCAAGAAGGGAGAGGGTGTCGTGTTCCTTGGAAAACCGCACGCGCGAAGCGTCTGGGAGCTTCTGAAGGCCGGCCGACACGTTGTCGCAATGGAAGGGAACTCCGACCTCTTGCAATTCACGATGCAGGTGGTGAAAAGCGAGGTCAATTCGAGTGGGCACAATTGTGAGTTCATGGTCGTGAGGCCAACACGGGATAAGGTGTGGAGCAAGAAGACAGATATGTGGTTCAAGTTGAGCGAGAGGAAGAGGAACAAGATATACGATTTCTTGTTTCTTCAAACGTGTCCGAGGAGGGTCACTGACGCCGAGTACATCCGCCTGAAGGACCACATATTGGCACTGCTCGACAACTACCACTTCGCCCCCCGCATGAACGCGAAGATGTTTATCGAAAGGCTGCAATCGTTGTACTTCGTGGAGTCCGAGGAGCTGTTGAAGTTAGCCAGTTACGCTTCCCTGATCTCCACTGACAACGAGGACGTCATAGGTGTGGAGTTTGTCGCCAACGCGAAGGAGGAGGAGAGCGACACGGAGAGCATCGACCTGCAGTACGACCCGCCTCCGGCGGACCACGGCCGAGGGTCCTCGTCGGCCGGTCCATCACCAAGCGCTGCAGCCCTCGTGTCACCATTGGCCAAATCGGCGCCGGGCACCACGCCGATGAAGTTGCTGGAGAGACTTAGAGCTCTGGCCGCCCCCGCGCCCGCTTTGCGTCCCGGGTCCATTGTCCAGCCCGATCATCCGTCTTGGAAGGATGACAACATCCACTTCCTGCTTGAACCGCAACGCTATTCACCTGAGCAGGACTGGGGCCATGACATGGTTTGGCATCCGGGAGTCATCTAGCCAGCGATACGAAATGGCGAGTGGGTCATTGCCGTGGCAATCCCGGGCGCGGGAAGGGTGTCATTCCCACGCGAGTCGAAGTCCAACTTCTTGCACCTCGCGAGAATTTCGGTCCTCCAGAAAGTGAAGGTCGAAAATGACACTTTAGCACCCGGCGACCTGTCCCTCATTTCCACTATCGGTCGACTGTTTGACGAGCTTCAGGACAAGTGCTGGTTGGAATTGACGGAGGACTACTACGAGCTCGACACGAGTCCGTCGAAGGGCGTGGTGGACTGGAAAGTGCCCCCTCCCAGTGGGCCGAACAGTGGTTCCGGGGGGGGGTCACCTGGAAGCGGAGGGGATGGGGGTGACGACGCAGGGGGTGGCAAAGGAATCCCGCCTATGGGGGAGAGAGGGTCTCACGGCCGCAACACGACACCGGGAGGCAGCGCCGGGGTGGCGGGTTTCGCTGTCGACCGGACTCCGTCGACAGGCACCCGGCCCGAGCACACGACACACTCCACCGACCCCCAGACTTCGTCCGTGGGCTCAGTGAGGGACACGTTGGCATCCTTGGTTGCTCTGGGCATTCGCTCGGCCGGAAAGCCAAAGTCCGCCGGGATCCGAACTACGTCAGGTGAGGAGCCGCTAGAGCGGTCCGGAATGTGAAGCTGCTCGGGGTCGGGGGATCCAAGCACGGATCGAGAAATTCGCAGCATTGCAGCGCAGGACGGAGACGTCGGAATGGTGTCGCCTGAGCGGGAGCGACGGCCGCAAGGATTGCAGCGGGAGGCTGCAAGTGCAGGGTCCGGCGACACGGAGACCACGAAGTCCGTCGAGATCCGAACTTCTTCGGGCGGGGTTTGTCGGCCAGGGATTGTCGTGCCGTTGAGAGGGGCAGCGTGCACGGGGACGGAAGGGCGGTCCTCGCGATTCGGCACGGGTAACGCGGAAAGGGACGAGTTTCGTGGGAGGGAAGTAGGGGAGGAAACGGAGGAACAGAAGGGAGCGCAAGAAGGGGAGGAAGAAGGGGAAGAAGAGGTGGAAGGGGAGGAAGCGGGAGAAACGGAGCTAATTGATTTGTTTAAAGGAAGGGAGGGTGCCGCGTCTGGAGAAGATGAAGTGGAACACAGTGAGGACGATGCCGGATCTGGAGAGTCGTCTGACGAGTTCGGACAACTATACGGAGAGCATCACGAGGATGATGTCGACGACAATGCCACAGCAATAGAGATGGAGACACAAGTGGTCAGCATCCTTTCCGCAGAGCCTGAAGATTATGTGGTCCGGCCACTGACGTCTGCTGTCGACTTGCAGCACCGGTTCGACGAGGCTTCCGTCGCTATCAGCCTGTCTGAAAAAAGTCGACATATAAGCATCGACGAAGTTATCGACGGTATCCTCGGCGACCACAACGTGTCTGCCCGTCCGTCCGCAACTGCCAACGTCGCATCTTCCGTCGCAGCTGCCCTCGCTTCGTCGCCGCCGAAGTCTCTGGTGCTGCAGGCCACCCTTGCCGCCGAAGGGGAAGGCGAGTGAGGTGGAGGACAGCATTTGACGTCCCCAAAAAAATCGAGGTTCGGCGGTCAGGCTCTCGACGTGCTCGCTTTGCCTGCACCAAATTCACCATCGAAGGAGCGGAGAGAGAAACAGACTAGTAAACCGTGAAGAACGCCTGCGCATCCGGATGTCGCCGGATTGCAGTCCGCGCTATACACACGACGACTGTCCACACTGTCTGTGCATACGGGAAGTTCCGGATGTCGGCATGCCACAGCCAGCAGCCCTTCCTACTCCAGCTCGTCGGCCTCTGTGACTCGGCCGGGTTGCTAGTCGAGGGCGGCGAAAACTTCGTCCAAAACCTTACACTCCATCCAAGGAAGGATCTGCCCCGGCTGAGGAAGTGGCCAAGGTGCTAAGAAAGTGGCCAAGTACATGGACTGATAGTTTTCCCTTCTCGGGAATAGTGCCGGTTTTAGTCCGCCGGGATCCGAACTTCCTTTGTCGATGCGTGATGTGGTCAGTCTCAGTGGGGCTAGTGTGTTGAAAAGTCTGCCGCAGTCCAAACTTCGGGGATTGCTGGCCTCCGGCTTCTGTGAGTTGTGGTGGTTTTCCTTTGCGAAGTGCGGGGGGTGATAAGCTCGAATGTTGCATTCGTTTTGTTTTTCAGTCGCACAACCGCACCTGGGTGCACATGACCACGCGAGATTTGGGTCCTGTGGTCGGAGAGGTCCTGCGTGACTGTAGGCCAAGGTGCTAAGAAAGTGGCCAAGTACATGGACTGACAGTTTTTCCTTCTCGGGAATAGTGCCGGTTTTAGTCCGCCGGGATCCGAACTTCCTTTGTCGATGCGTGATGTGGTCAGTCTCAGTGGGGCTGGTGTGTTCAAAAGTCCACCGCAGTCCGAACTTCGCGGATTGCTGGCCTCCGGCTTCTGTGAGTTGTGGTGGTTTTCCTTTGCGAAGTGCGGGGGTGATAAGCTCGGATGTTGCAGTCATTTTGTTTTCCAGTCGCACAACCGCACCTGGGTGCACATGACCACGCGAGATCAGGGTCCTGTGGTCGGAGAGGTCCTGCTTGACTGTTGCGTCTGTACGAATGTATGGTTCTCATTTTTCGTTTTGTCTTTCTTCTGTTGTACAGGGGTGGTGTCGTAGCGAACACGGAGGTCCTCCAAATATCCAGAGCACATATTGCAGAAAGTCCCCGGGTTGAGTAAAAAACACAAGGATATGTTAAAGGCATCAGGGGTTGATGTCGAGATCGGGAAGAATGAGTACACCGTTGCCATTGAGGAATGTCTTTCCCTTCTTGCCCCAGAGAAAGGGACATATCCACGATCTGTGAGTAGGGGTCAGGCCATGTATGAGAAGTACTTAGCAACGCGTCATGCACTGGGGGACAATGTCTAGAACTCCATTTCTCACTATCCCACGTGTCCTTTGCTCGATGTTGTGCAGTGCGGGCAACAAGTGCAGCACGCGGAAAAAGTTTCGCTGCGACGATTGCGCCTCTGAGCTTGCGGGTTTTGGATGACATTGTACGAGGCTCGGTGCCGTCTAACACCATTCTCTCTATATTGGGCGATGGTCAATTTCGGATTGCAGCAAAAGATCTCCTCACCCTCTTGCATGTCAACGGCAGGGTGAATGCTGAGGTGGTCAATTTCTATATGGCGTTGTTGGGGTCGACCGCATGTGGGTCACGTGACATCTCTTCAGACCTTCAAGTCTTCAACTTTAATTCGTTATTCTTCAGTAAACTGTGACTTCAAGGACACGGTGGGGTGCAGAGGTGGGCTAAGAACGTAGATTTGCTTCGTTTCTAATATTATCTTCGTTCCTATCCACAAAGATGATGATCACTGGATCGTCGTTTCCGTCAACATGAGAGATAATGTTCTCGAAATTTTTGATTCTTTTTCTCGCATTAGACGCCAAGAGGACCCGAACATCGTTCGTCCTTTAGGGTGCTGATCTCCTAAGTACGAAACATACACCGGTTGACCTAGACGATCCCAGCCAAGCGTGAAACCCCAAAAATAATTATAGTCCTTTGGATACTAGTCGAGGAAAGTGATAATAACCGCAATTAATTACATTAATGAATTGATCATAACTGATAGACATGTATATACGATCAAAATAAGTTGAAACGATAACTGAAAGAACCAGAGCACTACATAGTAGAACCCATAACACAAGTTTGAAATAAAACCTGATCACATTTGGTCGAACTCTACAAACAAAACATTATATTGAGCCGTCAACAGGGAGTTGGAGGCATGAAGTGTTGATTCGATTAAAGAAGACTCCGATAATAACCTCGATGCAGTCGATAAGGTAGCAGGTCTGCCTCAGTTTTGACCTAATGAGACGTGCTACCAAAGTCATTCATTCCACCCCACCGACAACCTAAGATTAAGTACGTACACACCCAACTTCATACATTTTGGTCTTTTCTTGATGCCTGACTGCTTTGTGAACGAGTCTTGATCAGTTGCATTACTTGAAGTGTTGCATATCCCACCCTCAAGGAAGTGGTCTGTGGTACTCCTCCTCGTCTGATCACAAAGTTCGGATCTCGGAAGTCGGACTGTCTGCACCGAATCGGTAGAGTACACCCCCCCTTAGAATGGTTCATTCTTGGTTGATAAAAAGGTCGACTCCTAAGGCAACGAACCCCCCCCAAAGATACTTTCTAGAGAGAGGACGTGTGTACCGCGAGTAATTTTAGTTGCTCTCATTTTCTCTAAGCTCAAGGTAATTTGGACGAAGAGAGTCAAAGGAGGTAGAGAATGAAAATTATTTGGACAAATATAAACAAATGAGGTTATTCGGGGTAAAAAAAATAAACCTCAGGGAAATGTTAAGTCTCATTGACTTCATCTTCATTATATCAACGAGTTTCTTTCACGGTAACCATTTTAATTATTCACTTCAAAATACAACTATTTTTTACATGCACTGTCAGGTGAAAGGTAGATAGAGGACAATAATTTTCTTCATCTCAAATAAACATACTCAATCTCCTTTCCAAGGGTGGTCTACCTACCTGCACTCAAAGCAAGACAAACAAGTTAAGAAAAAAACAATGGAGTCTCATACCCAAGTCAGACCTCATCTTTCACATGCATAACTCGCACAACCTTTTCTCTACCTTTTTCCTCTGAACGTTCAAAACAAACAGGGTTAAGCAAAGTGTGGGTTCACACGATTGTGAAGGGGGATCTAAGTCATTCAACGGACCTTGAGTGAAGTTTGAATCAACTCACTCAAAAAAGTCAAATAATCACCATTAAATAGAAAATAAGAGTGGTAAAAATCCCAAAAAATGTAGTTCATAACATGGCAGTGATCCGGACTACCGGACCGGGATCCGGCCTGTCTGGAGTCCGGTGTCCGGTAAACCGGTCCAGATTCCGAACATTTTTGACAACGACCTTTTTTTTTTTCGCGGCCCGGGGCGTTTCCTCATGACCTGGGCCGCCCACCAAAAATAAGGGCCCATTTTTTAAGGCCTCCGAGCGAGATCCGGTAGGGGCCGAAACTTTTCTCTTGTAATTGTCTGTTTTTTTTCCCTTTTTGTTCTCCTGCCCGTTTGAATGGGCTTTCTCCGTGTTGGCGGCCCGGAAGTGAAAGCGGGCTTCGATTTTGCCCGGAAGTGAAAGCGGGCTTCGATTTTGAACTCCTTCGTTGGTGATTTTGGCTGCCCCCCTCTCGGTACGACATTCAAACGTATGCACGCCCGGTACTGCCGCCATCGCCCGAGGGAGGAAGAAGCAGGGCAAGGAGGCGAGCACAACAGGCAAGGAGCAGACGTGGAGCAGGCACAGCACGGTTAGCAGTGGCCGCAGCAAGCGCAACGTGAGGAGCACAGCACAGGGCAGCGCAAGCAGATCAGTCTCTCTCTCTCTCTCTCTCTCTCTCTCTCTCTCTCTCTCTCTCTCTCTCTCTCTCTCTCTCTCTCTCTCTCTCTCTC